ATCATGTATCACTGTGTCAAGTTTGGTGCTGATTGATCAAGAAGTGTGGAAACGTATAAGGAACAGATATGATTGTTTGTTCTTTAAGTTAAGAACAAAGCTACACAATGGGCTATCTGTGCTATGCCCACCACGGGTATCGAAAGCCGGTTTCTAGCGTTCTAAGTCCGTAGACATACCGCTGTACCACTGGGGTCTAACATATATGAAATTATAGATATACGACCGTGTATTTACTCCTGGAGCACACTTTGTTTTATATATAATAGATAAATGCTTGCACACAGACTTCTTGATAATTTCCAGTGTCGTTAACTAGTCAATATTTCCATGTTGTGTGAAATAAGCTGAAAACTCCAGTAGTTTGTTTAGTTGCACAGTTATTTCCACGTTGTGTGAAATAATCTGAAAACTCCAGTGGTTTGTTTAGTTGCACAGTTTAAGACACATTATGAGAACACAAAATCGCCTTCATAAGTGACAAAATTAACCAAGAACCTGATATTTTATCCGTGTGACATGTACAGTTTTGTACTATCTGTTTTTGATATGAAGTTCTCCATTAACCATGTTTGACTTGCAGATCTTGTACTGTCCTTGTATGATTTGTAATTCACGTGTTTGTTTCGCGCAAAGCTACACAAGTACTATCTACGTGTAGCCATCCGTAATTTCAAACTCATAGACCCGAGGCAATGTTAACAACACCCACTGCCAACTTTTGGGCCACTATCTTGACTGATCGACTAGTGGAATTAGACGGTCACTTTTATAGCTGAGTGCATTTTTGCAGCAACGGGTCACAAACCATGAATCATCAAATTCAAAGTCCGGGCACACTAAGGCTGGTCCACGCCCGGTCCTTGTAATTTTTGTTCTGTCTGTGTATCATGTTTTATATTTGTATTTGATGGGTAGTTTTATGCTATACAGGTTGAGTAGTTACTATTCATGTGTAATTTGTAGTTTTTGTTCTATCTGTGTATCATGTTTTATATTTGTATTTGATGGGTAGTTTTATGCTATACAGGTTGAGAAGTTACCATTCATGTGTAATTTGTAGTTTTTGTTCTATCTGTGTATCATGTTTTATATTTGTATTTGATGGGTAGTTTTATGCTATACAGGTTGAGAAGTTACCATTCATGTGTAATTTGTAGTTTTTGTTCTATCTGTGTATCATGTTTTAGATTTGTTCTTGATGGGTAGTTTTATACTATACAGTTTGAGAAGTTACCATTCATGTGTAATTTGTAGTTTTTGTTCTATCTGTGTATCATGTTTTATATTTGTTCTTGATGGGTAGTTTTATACTATACAGTCTGAGAAGTTACTATTCATGTGTAATTTGTAGTTTTTTTGCAGTATTCACATGTGAGTGCAGCTTTCATTCTATGTTTATAAGGTATGTTTACCTTATTCATGATTGTAATGCCTAAAGAGCACTAGAAAGTTACTTTTTAATGAAATTGATAAGAACTTGTAGCTATCGATGAGCTTATAACGATAATTATACATGTCAAAACAATACTTTGTAACTGATAAAGTTGAATACAACATAGGATCCAAAGGTTGGACAAGACCATTATAGTTAATTACAGGAGTTTTCGGTTTTGAAAGAGAAAGTTAATCAAAAACAGCTGATTAGTCTGGAGTTAAAGCTCTCTAGATTTCTCTTTTTCCTGTACAAGACCTTTTTTTAACTCTCAAATTACTGACATGTTTTTACCGCTTGCTTCAATTGGGCTCATATTAAGTGTAAGTGATTTTGTTTTTATCTTTTACAAAATCGATGTAAAGAAATAACAAAACATTTTGTGTGTGTAAAATTTATAGGAGACCCAAACAGTAATTATTGGGATGGCTGCGATATTGGTGATGTATTTTTGTATGATTGGTACATTATTAGGGCCCATTACCAATGTAATATATAAATAATTTGGACAAATGAGTTTATAAAGCCAATGGGTATACGTATCCCATTGCTAATACTAGGGATAAAGGCAGCACATTTTTCTGTGGTTCGTGTCTTCAAGGAATAGACATCTTGTATCTATGTGGTTTATTGTGTGATTAAAGGCAGCACATCACATCCTGCTATGATTTATTACATAATTAATGTAATTTGATATCAATAATCAGTATTATATGATGAAATATATATTGGCTTTAAAAATGAATGACCATCCGGGTGTATCCTGTTAACTCTTTTGTCTCTTGTAGACAGTAGTCTGAATGTCCCTAGAGTCACTTGTGTGTGTGTGTTTTAGCCTGTGGTTAAAATGGAAATTTGGAGCTATGGGGAATCCAGTACCTAACTCACAACGTCATTCCACTTAGAAAACTTTAAAAACCTAACTATCCAGTACATCATCTATAAGTATAATACTGTATAGAGAAGAAAGAGAAATATACCAAACTCTGATCAAATATCATGTCGGGTATCTTTAAAACATTAACAAAAATTTCCACAGAGGAGCTAATGAGGATATCTCCTCTTTGTCCTTCCTGGACATACAAGCGTTTGCTGTTGCAAGTCTTCTGTTGTTTTGTTTTTTTATGCTATCCAAGACTTGACATATGGTAGAGGATTCCTCTAATTCTTCAATTGGTCACTGTTGAAAAAATAAAATCAGTGGACTAATATATTCGCCACGCCCATCGATCCCGGATTCACCTAATTGTAAATAGTTAGCTATAATTTCAATCTTGTTTGGTGAAGACCAGTTTTCACGTGTAATCGTATAATCCTTATTGTAAAAATATAGATCCTCCACAAACTTTCAATTATCCTATGATAATGTTTCAGCTCTCTTAACAGGGGAGAAGGTTTTAGCCCTCCCCTTTGTGTCTGCCTTCACTTTTAAGAAGTGT